ATGCCATAAACTGTGACTTCAGGGTTTGCAACTACAAGTTGCCTTCACACACTTGTCTTCATACAGGCTTCCTGGGTGAAGGCAAGGAAAATGTATTCAGAGTCTGATTCAGAAGATGAGAAAAGCTTTTATTCCTTGTAATGTCTTTCTCATGATTTACTACTGTCTTTATCCCTTAACTGCTTCTAAGCTTTTTGATAGTTTTTGTCTGTCACTTCACTGGTTTTTTCCAGTGGGTATCTTTATGTGAAAACAAATGCTCTTGTATAATACAACACTCTCTTTGCTGGCATCTTCTGTAAAAACTATATTCCAAGTTGATAAAGAATTTAAATGAATAGGTTGCAAGTAAGATTGTAAGAGAAGACCAACTGGATTAAAAGATGCTGGTGACAAATAAGTGCAACATCAATCTTAAATGGGATGAAGGTCAATGAAGCTCAGAACACCAGGACTAAGCTGTGCACAGGGAACAGGCTGCTACCACGAGCAGTGGTGCTGCCTGAGGGGCCCAGAAAGAAGCAGGTCACTTCATGATACAAAGGATGGAGGGAAAAGACAGAAAAAGGGTTGTAAGCACTGAAGAGAAAGGTTCTGCAAAGGGGCTGAGTAGAATTCAGGAAATGGGTAAAATCATACAGAGTCAGACAGCTGTCTGTCTTCATATGTGCTGCCAGATGTTGAATGAGGAGGTGGCTCTGACATTGGGAAAAAAGTCTGGAGTCTGAGAAATCATATACTGAAATCTTGTAATAGAGAACATTTTCTTATGTGGAAATTAAAACTTAGAATCTTCCAGGTAGAGGTTCTGCTCAGAAACTGAGTATAACCACACATACTTAATGGCCTTCACCACACTAACCTGGTAGTGCTAAATGTGCTGTCATATGGCAATCCAGCTCCATGGTAACAGCTTTGGATCTGTACATCCCAAATAAGAAATGGGCATTCCTCAAAACTGGTGTGGTAGAAAACTGTGGTCTGTGCCAGCAGTCTGCCTGTACACTGTCACCCACTGCAGAAATATTTGTCAATGCCCAACATCTTGTCTACAAAAAGTTGGTTAGCTAAAACCTGACAGGACCTGACAAGTGCAATAGAGCCCCAGAGTGGGGGGAAAACTCCTCTTTTGGAGTAAGTTTAAAGAAACAGAAATTCCCATCAGAAATACAGACCATAAGCAAGCCTGCTCAAAAATTATGTGTGCTGTGAACAAAGACACCAAGGGGAACAATCTGAGAACAGATTTTACAGATAATACTGGATGAAATGAGCCCTTGAGCCATGAACAAAGAAACACACTGCCTCATTTTGGTGAGTAGAGAATGTTAATTTAAGCTCCTTTTAATCAATAAGATTGAATTAACTGAATATATCATTTAATTCTTTGACTGAAATCAATCCATGTGCCTTGCAGAAGGGACAGTAGTGCTGTGGCTAAGGCAGATAGCCTACTTCAGTGCCATCAGCAGGGAAAAGAAAACTCCTCCAGAGGGTGAAAAAAAGCTTTTGTGCAATAAACCTGTCAGGCATGCAAAAGCTTAAATCGCTCAGTTCAAAGATACCACCGGGGGAAAATGGCAACTAAAAATAAGATAAGCTAAGAAAGAGCAAAGCATCATATGCATGCAATGAAAATTCATCAGCCTTTCTAAATATCATTGAACATAAAGCTTTTAGCATAAAGATGCCCCCCACAGATCTTGTGTTAAGGTCTGGGCAACAGAACAAGTCTTTGTTTATTGAAAAGAGAGCAGGATTTGTGAAATGTATAGAAACCATCACCATGGACAAGCAGATACAGTGAAGACAAGGACTTGCTACAGCTCAATCTGTTTGGCTTCAAACACATTCACTTTTACAACCCTGAGGGCACTGCCACTCCTGCCCATCCCTGTCCACTCCCAAGGGCTCCCCCTTCCTCCCCATGGCCCAGTGCCCTTGGCTGGGGTGGTGGGATGGGCCCTGAATGCCAGGCTCTGCCATTACCCACCCAGGGTGCCCCCAACTCTCCCAGCCTTGGGACCCACCAAACCTCATATGGCCCTGATGGTTTTCATAGATAAAAATTGGGGGGGAAGTTTCTTTTAAAAAGGGGCATCTAGAATTTGACCAAGTGTGCTCAAAGTACTGAATGAGTTAATGGTTTGTCAGGATGTAATCACATCTACAAACTTTGTAATATATGCAATAAATCTTTTAAAAAGGTCCTACAAATCTGGTGTGTGGAAATTCCCTGTGAAGAAACACAGCTCAGGTGAAACATATGATTTATAGATAACTGGGCTTTAGTCAGTAAGTTGGTTTTATCTCTGGAGCAGAAATAGAAATCTGCATACAATGAGATATAGTTGTTGATAGACAGGAGCAATTTAAATCTGTTCTAAAAGTCCAGGGTCTTACAAAAGCTCCAGCTGCTAAGAATACTTTGGGATCTAAGGAAGGAAGAGATGTCTGTTTTTGTCAGACGCTTTGGTCAGGTATGGACTGTAGCTTTGGTCAGGTATGGACTGTAGCAACTACTGGGGGAGGGGAAAAAGATCAGAAAGACTGGGTGAAGATGAGTCCTGGCCCATGTAATGCAGCAAATTTAACTGAGGGATATTAAAATAGCCTAACAGACCAGCTGAGAGCAAAGCCAACCCAGCAAATGCCAAAGCTCTGCTGCATGGAGCAAGAGAGAGGCTGGAGCAAGGAAAGGGGCCCAAGGACCAGACACCTCACCACCAACCACCCGTAAGATCTTCACAGTCTGGGAAGTGTCTCATCAGGGAGGTGGAATAGAGCTTTTGGTCCATTCCTGGTCCTCACCCGAGCTGAAAGCTGAGCCGGCATGCATGTGAGCAGCTTCAAAAGGAAGTAATTTACCTTAGGCACACAATCAGTGAAGGAATTTCTACCGATTAAAAGAAAATCGGAGCTGTGCAGAACTGGCCAAGTCTCCAGATGTTCATGGAGCTTTGTACACTGTGTCTGTGGGGTTTTCCAAATTCCAGAACAATTGCATAAAATGAGTAAGAGACTAGTTTGGGGTCATTTTCAGAGCGGGAAAAGGAAACGCCATGTTTCAAACCCCCTTTCCTATGAAACAGAGATGCTAGTGTTTACAAACTGTGAGCAGAACTGACACAAAAAGACATAGAAGGAGAAAAGGAAGAAGCTTGTTGCAGTGACTCCTGCAATCCTGTTCTACTCTACTTCTGCAATCCTTCCTGCAACTTTTCAGTCATTCTAAATCTTAACAAAGTCTTAGGAGTTTAACAACTCTTTTGCAATGCCTCCTCACCACAAGAGAATACTCATTCTTTCTGCAATGTATTTTTAGGCTGCATAAAACTGTTCTATTGATAATGCTTTCTTGTAATTTACTGAAATTCTCATAAAAAAAAAAAAAAACCAAAACCACAGGCTGCTTTTATTGGATGACTGGTTCAAGGTTTTCATGAATTCCTATGCCAGTTGAGTTTCACGGACCTGAGTACAATGCAGTAGCCAGACATGCGCGCTACATTCCGATAACATGGTGTCAAACAAAGTATTCAATCAGAAGTCAAAATAATTTAACAAATGCCTCCAATCTGACTCAGCCCTTGCCAAACTAGGGCTTGTATGAGAGGGGAAGCTTTCTGGCACAGTGATTGTGGAAAAAAAAAATACCCCTGTTTCCCTGGAGTAACTTTGGAAGTGCAGTAGTTTGGAATAGAGTTACAGAGCTCCCACACTGGAGTTTATATCTTAAAAACTACAGCAAAATAATGATTTAGGCTAACTTCTGTGTGAGCTGATACTGCGTAGACAGGTGAATTCAGGTTAAATCCTTTGCAAATCTTGAGTTTCAGAGCAACTGTAGGAAGGTACAACCTGTTTACCTAGGAGTAGATGGTAGGGGGGGTGACAAGAGGAGTGATCCCCCAGCAGCCCCCAGGGTGCTGCAGGGTGTCCAGCAGGATATCTCCCAGCTGGGCTTGGCAAGCTGCAGCAGGGATGCTGCCCAAGGGGCTCTGTGCTGTGCTACAAGCAAGCTGCTAAGTGTTTCTGCTCTTTCTGCCACAAGCCACTGTCACTGGCCATGGGAAGGGTGAGCTGGGGAGAGCTGCTGGTCTCTAGGAGCTGGCCATGTCCAAGGCAGTTGCTCTCTGCCTGAAAACTTCCCCCCACCTTGTTTCTGTGTGATAGGACAGGCAGCCACAGCCCCCATGTAGGTTCTTGTTTGGCAGAAAGTCCCTCTTCTGTTGGTCTGTCCCAGTGCTAACCCTGACAGCACATCAGTTTTCATGGATGAATCTCCAAGACCAGCACAACCCTATTTTGAACATGACCTATCTCAAAGCCAAACATCTTTTACCTGCTCTCCTCCTTATTCAGATAAAAGTGGTTTTTTTGACATAAAGGTGAAACTAGAAAGTTTTTCCTTGTGTTGTGTATCTAATATTAAACTTGGTTTTTTCGTGGTGCTTGTGCTCTATGTGTTGGCCATGACACCTTAAAAAATGAGAGTTGAAGATTCATGATTATTTCTACTATCAAGGGCTGGTCTCCCTTATGTCTGCTCACAAACTTAAGCTCCCAAACCATTATTAGGGTTCTGCCTGTGACATAAAAGCAGAATAGAGTATTTGCTTTTTTCTTTATGGCTGTGACTTATCTTTTGGTACATTTCTTTCTGCAGTGTGAAAGAAATAGACCAGTATTCGCAAGATTTGATACTCCTTTGCTGTGTTTCTTGGGCTGTTAGCTACTACAGGGTCAGCACAAAATTATTAACAAGATACGTCTCCAAAACCTGAGCACTTTAAATGTGCTTTGCAGAAATGTAAAGGACTAGAAAACTATATAAAGGAGGGCTATTTTCATTTGTAGTGATGTCTCAGTGAGCGGCTGCTGCAAGATGTGTTTAGCAAAGGAACACGGATGAGGCTGAGGAGAGCTCCTACACAAGTTTGCTACACGTTTACCGAAGGGCTGCCTGTCCGCAGCAGAACCCTGCAGGTACGTATTCTTTAACCACCTCCGGCAGCACCTCTGTCCGGACGGCGGAGCTTTGCACTGCCGTGCGCTGTAGGGCACGGGAGCGGAGCCACCCCCAGATGGGGGCGAGCCTCCGCTCCCCTTCCAGTCCCCGCTCTCCTTTCACTCCGCATTCCAACGCGGCTTTCCGCGCCCCGAGCAGCTGGACACGCGTCCCCAGGACCGGGGGCAGCAGCCACCTTGGCCGGGCCGGGCCGGGCCGAGCGCGGAGCCCGGGGGGCGCTGCCCGCACTCCGGCCGGGCCGGGGCGGGGCGGGGCGCGGCCGAGCGCGGCGCAGGGAGCAGCGCGGCCCCGGCTCCGCCTCTGCTCCTGCCCCGCCTGGACGGGACGGGGGCGGCCCCGGGCAGGAGCGTGCGGCGGCGGGAGCTTTCCTTGTCCTCCTCCTCCTCCTGCTCGGCGTCAGCCCCGCTGCCGGCTCCCCGCGGCGGCTATGCGCTGCCGGGACCGCCCGGCCGAGCGGCGCTGAGGGGGCGGGCGGACAAAGGCTGCGGGCTGCTGCCGGCGCTGGGGCGCGATGGAGCGGCGCGGCGGCTGAGGCGGCTCGGTGGGGCGAGCCGAGCCGAGCCGAGCCGGGCCGGGCCGGACGACAGCGGCACATGGTGCGCGGCTGGTGCCCGACGCTGCGCACCCGCGGGCGGGCCGAGGGGCCACCATGGACAACTTCTTGGCGGAGGTGAGCGCGGGCCGGTGGGATGGATCCTCCTCCTACTCCTTCTGCAGCGTGGGGTCGCTTTTGTCGGGCAGGATACCGGCAGCAGAGCGGCGGGAGGCTCACGGAAAGTGTTTGTTCCCTCGAGTAGTTCGGTTTGCAGGGTGCTCACGGGAGCAGAGCCCGGGGAGCGGGAGGCTGGCGGAGAGGGAGGGAGGGAGCTGCGCCCCCCAAATTCCCCCAAATTCCCGGCCTCTGTGGCTGTGGCCGGGGCGGAACTCGGAGCCGCCGAGCTGCAGCGGTGCTGCCCGGGCTGCCCGCAGCCGGGCGGGCTCTCGGCGCTCACTGGGGCTCATTAGAGCGGCGGGGCATGGAGGGAGGCTCCGGTGCCGCCGCGCTGCCCCCCAGCCCCGCGCCCACCGGCGGCAGCTCCCCCGCGGGACGCGGGCAGCCGGGGCACCGGTGCGGAGCCTGCCCCGCTTCCTGCTGCCCCTGAAGCCGTGCCTTGGTGGGAGCGGGGAGTCCCTCCTCGGGGGTTCCCTGTGTGAAAGCCGGGGAGACCGCCTTGTCCGCCCTCACGGGCACCAGAGGCTTCAAACGCTGAAGGTTTCAGAGGCAAGGCTGCCGCTGGGCACCTTTTTTTAAAGGTTTGTTCGTTGAGTTTGTGTTATTAAGTACAGAAGAAATCTTTTATACAAAATGAAAAGGAGGGAGGCTGCATTCCTGAAAGTCGTTTGAGCTTTACCGTGGTCTTGTGGATCTTGACAACTTCAGTATGTCGGGTGAGGAAACCAAATCAAGGGTGCTTTGCTACTGTCTTAGGATATTTGATAAAACTCAGAACCTGGGTGCTCTTCTGGTCCAAGCTAGCTGAATTTTGTACTACAATATTCTACTGGATCCGTTTATCCCGCCTTATGAACATAAAGTGTGCAGGATCAATGTCTTCTCTGTTGTGCCTGTAGTTTGCTGGCAAAGCCCGTGACTGGGTTGTGACTTCTGGTGACTGCCTGCACACTTGCTTTAATTGCACCTCTTGCCAAAGCAGTTGCACTGTCGGGGTTGTAAATACAGGCCAGGCATCTGTTTTACAGGGTTGTGATTAATCTGCAAAACTGTCCTTTGCCCTCATGAAACAACATCCCTCGTGTTCTTGGTGCTGCCGTTGATGCTTCCACAAGAAAAATAGGTGATCTGTTTACTGAAATAGTAATTAGTCAAATAAAAGAAGGTCATACACTTTATTGCTTGTTGGCTTTTCATTTGTCAGACAACAAAAGTTCTGTCAACTGCAATAAGAAGGAAGAAATGCAGGATTAGCTTTGATGAAGTCTGAGTTAAGTAGTAATACTGCCTTTTTTTTTCTTTAGAGGATGTAGCCCTCACCTTTCAAAAGCTTGTAAGCCATGAGCAATATGGTAGCATTAACTTAGCCTTGCAAAATTAGTCTGAAGAGTCATTCGCCCCAACACAAAGTACTGCAGTGTGCCCTACATAAAGGTGAAGAAGAGTTTTCATGGTTTTGACTCCCCTATTAGGCAAAATTACTTGCTCCAGGGAAAACACAAGTAAATTTTGCCAGTCTGTGTTAGCATTTCAGCATATATTTATGTTAATCTGTGGTTGCTTCATGTGGACTTTGATCCTTCTTAAGAACTTTGACTCCCTTTCAACATGCAGATATTACTTTAAAAGATCAGTAAATATAGCACCTTGACTTTAATCTGCATCCAAAGTCCCACCCACAAGTATAAACATTTTCCTTCCCTTGCTCTGGAGTGGAGCATATGTAAATGGAAAATAGAGAGCATGAGGCACAATAGCAGAAATGCACTGAGTCTGACCCAGCTACCACAGAAGAATGTCTGTTGAAGGCACTGGATTGAGCCACTAGGTAATTTAATTTGTGTGAGGCAGACATCCTGCAGCTGCTCTTCACAAAAATATTTGCTGACTTATCTAAGGGAATTACTGTTCTCGTTAAAATAAGTTACAGTGTGAGGAAGAAGGAGGAAGCTGGATGAAAGGCACAGGTGAAAAGCCCAATGTGCTCTGCTCGTCTTTGTCGGTGATATAAGCCTGCTGATATGATTATATTTTGGGAGAAAAGCTGATCGTGGGAAGAGTAAATACTGGCACTTCAGAGGGGTCGTTCCTCAGCATTACCAAGAAGCTCCTGTTGACTACACTGGAGGCAGAATTGTCTTCAGTCTGGGTGTTGCAGGAAATATTGTACAGCTTAAAGGTGTTAATAGGAAAAAACCAAAAACCCTGCATTATTATTTCTCCCTTATTTTTCCATTGCCAGATGCTAAATATAACATGCCTCAGTAGAGGGTGATGCTTACTGGAACAAAATGAGGCAACTGAGTGAGACACCTCTGGAGAGCAGGAGGTGCATCACAAAGGGATGTAGTCCTGTTGGGACTTGCTGCCTCAAGTGAGGTGTGGGATAATGCCAGGCTCGTGCCAATCATCTGACACTGCCATCATTTGTGACTTAGCAGCTCCTTGATTTCTCCCTCTTGCTGCTCAATTTCCTTTCTTTACTCTTTCTTAGTATTCTTAGCTTTTATTGTTAAAGGACAACAAGTGGTTGCACTTGTCTCCTGGGAAGCCTTGATTTCCATCCCTGTCTCAATTTTCTAGCTCGACCAATTTAAAAACAAGCCATGGCTCTAAGTAAAGAATTAGGCTGGAAAAGTTTATCCTGTAACTAACTCACCAACATGTTCTAATTGCTGCAAGGTATAAACATAATAACAAAGTTGCATTCTAAGTACAGACGAAAAGTGTTTTGTGATGCTTTTTTAAAGGCTGTTGATTGGTGTATGCTACCTTACAGTCTTTAAAAGAAGGTTGGAGGTAGAATTTTAATTTTTTTTTTTTGTTTTTGTAGTCATATTTTCTTATCTAAAGTATTAAAACCTGTAGAAATCCTTTATGGGTATGTGCAATAGAGCCATTTGGCTGCATTGCTTAAAACAGCCTGAAAAAATTGTTCCCATATGTTTTACCAACAGCCTGAGTGTTCTCAAGGGAACAGGCTCCTGTGGTAGCTGAGGTCAGACTTTTTTCCAGTGAGAATGCATCCCTGCTAAGAGGGGATGTATGCCATGAGGGAAGGAAGAAAGTAATTTCCAGATGAGGCAGACAAGGAGAGGGGAGCTCAAACTGCCCCTTCAGCATCTCAAGTTCCCAAGCAGAGCTTATCAGGGCAGCAGGGGAAGAGGATGCAGAAGTCAGGTTTATCTTCTTCCTCTTCCATGGCAGTCACTTTGACCAATACGCATGGGATGTTGCACTGAACTCTGGTTGCTGTCCTTGTCACAGAAGAAGTGTGGCATTTGCTGACCCAGTGGGGGTCAGAAAGGGCTTGAGGTTGGGAAAAACTTCTCTAGGTCATCTTGTGCAAACCTGTCCTCCAAGCTGGTGCTCAGTTTCTGGGGAGCTAACTTGCAGCACAGTGTGTATAGTGGTGGCTGCAGGGATTGTTTGGGTTTATCTGCTGCCAACCTTAAAAGAATTCCTCCTAACCTTGCAACTGTGGAAACTGAGGAGAAGGGAGGAGAACAACTGTGCGTCCTGCCTTCTGTGTAGCATGTCTGGGTAGATGATGTTGAAGGAGACCACTATAAAGGATCACTGTCATAGAGGTCCTGCTGATGTTTATCCAACACTGCCCAGAAGTTTATTTGGAACTGTGGGGACCCTCACAGTGTCCTTTGAGGCATAGCAGATACTCTGTGCCTACCATGCTTTTATTTTTAGTATTACCACTGGTACCTGGAGTTCAGAATGGTTCCCTTAATTTCTGCTCTCCACAGTTGCACATACTTGCCTGTGTACTTTGTTTTAAGGAGAAGGCTTCCAGCATGTATTCTGAAGGAGCAAGTGTTGAACCTCCCTCTGTGGGAAGGATATGGGACAAAAGTTTAGCTTCAGGAAGCTGTCAGAGAAGGTATCTGCTTGAACCTGGAAGCTCTTAATTCAGCAGCTTGCAGCAAGCTTTTTCTTGATGCTCTCCTGTTGCAACATTTGGCAGATCACAGTCTCACAGCACTGAGTCCTTTGAAGGGTTCATCATCTCCTGCAGACAGGTGGCCTTGGCACCACCAAGGTTATTCACCTAATGAGAAAACCTGGTGATGCAAATAAGTACCTGCATTGCAATACATGGATTCTGGCTGTGCTGTGCAGCACAGTGTATATGTTTGGGATGACCTTTGAAGTCTCCCCAGTTTTCATTTACAAGTGTTTTGATAGTAACACAAGAATGGGTCTGATGTTCCAGCTTTTAGTATTGGTATAAACTGTGTAGCTTACACCAGCAAAGTCATCCTTTATTCTGGTGGGGCAAAACCTGTGAGTGATGGCATAAAGGTGTTTCTGGAGACCTTCTGAGTGCCAAAGCATGCCAAGCAGAAAGAGTGTCTCTTTTGGTTGTTGACATTGGCTGTGTTCTGAATTTTCTGAGCTCTGACTTCTCATATATAGGTTTTCTTGAAAGCTGATGGTTGTTTTGTCTACAGTTATTTTTAGGTTAATTAGAGAGCACTGTGTTTTGAATAGAAGATGTTTCAAGGGGGCTTACCTTATCAGGTCAGAAAGATGAAGTTTATTTCAGGTTTATTGCTCCAAGTTGGAAATTACATTCAGCTCATCAGTATCATGTAATGGTTACTGCCTACCACTGATATTCACATGTGCCTTTCATAAGACAAATTTGTGCAACTGAAACATTATCGTGGCTGGGCTGGAGCCTAGCAACCCTGTTGGCACTGCACATATTGTAAAATGACACAAGAATTCTCTTAAAGCTGTAAAATACGTAAGTTTTCAAGTTGGCAATGGAGGCTCTACATTCTGCAGGGTCTGCTTGTGGTTTTTTGGTATGTTCAGTCAGTCTCCAACTAAAGAAAAGCTGTGAAACCCACTGTTACAGAAGA